GTGTCTGTCAAATTCATTGAACAATTTGACCCATTTGGAATATAAAAACCCCAACAATTTGCCATGTCTGTCAAATAAGAATCACACCATTTCGTGTTTCGTACTTCATGAAATATGAAACTTCCCTTTGCAATCTCTTAATCCCATGTGTGTATTAATTTAATTACTTACTATTTCTCATGCCCAGAACGTACTTCCTCCTCTAAAGGTAGTTTGTGGGATTTAAATAGAAAATCTCTTTTATTTCTTATTTTTTCAGCTTGGGGTGTATTTAAGGGTAGTTTGAGAAGATAGTGGGGTTTACTTAGAAATTGTGAAAATTTAGAGCATGGGGATGAACTAAGAGAAGTGTGGGGTTTAAATAGAAAATCTCTTATTATATATACTTCCTAAATAAGTAGAAAACAAAGACCAAATATTAATTGTGTCAAAATTTTGGGGGGGCCCAGCCCCTTCAGGCCTTAACAAGCCTCCGCCATTTGCAGTCACGACACTCACATTGTGGCCGCTACATTGACTTGGTGTCCAGGCAATTCTCCTCAATTTGAAAGTCAGTAATTAGTAGGACCAATAATGATGATTTTTTGTATAATAAGGATTAAGGAAAGGGAGCTTCACTAATATACCCAATTATAAAAAAACCCCATATGGAAAACACTTTATAAACACACCCAAAACCCATTTATTAAATAACAAATTAGTGTTGAAGTTCCTATATATTACAAGGCTGCCATTGATAAGCCCAACAGAAAAAAAAAACTCAAAAAACACCCAAAATCAACCCAGCCCAAATTTATAAACAAGCCCAAACATTTTAACCTCTAGAAAATCGTAACTTTTGTCCAAAAAAAAACATTAACTCAACCTCCAGCACGTGCTTTTATTAACTTCTCTGCAAAATGTCACTTCGTTCACCTTCATCAAAGCGTCCTCATCTTCAATCAGACAGAAACTCCATAACCACCACCAAGCACCAAGAACAAATACGACACAGTGACCTTCGCTTTCAAAACCAAGAGAAAAGTTCAGAGAACGATTTCAACACGAAAACGCATCAAAGGTAAGACATTCAACACCGAACTTACTGTAATGTTGATAAATTTATATAAAGTTCCATTCTAGGGTAATAACAGCATTTTAGATTCGAATCAAAGACAAAATCTTGAAACTATATTGGATTTCATTATTGCACTGACTGCTTACTATCATTATTTTAGTCGCTAGTTCACTGAAATTTCTGATTAATGACTGTAAAGTTCCAATACAGGGTATTAACACTGATTGTTTCCTCTGAAATCCTATTTCTGAAGAATGTCTACCACTGTAAAGTTCCAGTATAGGGTATTAACACTGCTTGTTTGCTATGAAATCCTATTTCTAATGCACGTCTACCACTGTAAAGTTCCAGTATAGGGTATTAACACTGCTTGTTTGCTATGAAATCCTATTTCTAATGCACGTCTACCACTGTAAAGTTCCAGTATAGGGTATTAACACTGCTTGTTTGCTATGAAATCCTATTTCTAATGCACGTCTACCACTGTAAAGTTCCAGTATAGGGTATTAACACTGCTTGTTTGCTATGAAATCCTATTTCTAATGCACGTCTACCACTGTAAAGTTCCAGTATAGGGTATTAACACTGCTTGTTTGCTATGAAATCCTATTTCTAATGCACGTCTACCACTGTAAAGTTCCAGTATAGGGTATTAACACTGCTTGTTTGCTATGAAATCCTATTTCTAATGCACGTCTACCACTGTAAAGTTCCAGTATAGGGTATTAACACTGCTTGTTTGCTATGAAATCCTATTTCTAATGCACGTCTACCACTGTAAAGTTCCAGTATAGGGTATTAACACTGCTTGTTTGCTATGAAATCCTATTTCTAATGCACGTCTACCACTGTAAAGTTCCAGTATAGGGTATTAACACTGCTTGTTTGCTATGAAATCCTATTTCTAATGCACGTCTACCACTGTAAAGTTCCAGTATA